CTACCCATATTTGTAGAACCTCAATGGATTATCATTAAATTTGACATGAATCTCTAAAACAAATCAAAATTTATACCCATGTGATAACCTTTTTTAAAGATTTGTGTCAAATTTAATAATAATCTTTTGAGATCCTATGCACATGGGTGGAAGACGATCCTATAAGATCATCATATATATATATATATTATTGTTACAATATGGGGCACTACTTGTGCCAATACCTCATACTCGGGCTGACTACTCCGATCGAGAATGGGCTTAGTACTCCCCTAAATAGTCGTTTCAAACACTAAAGTAAACTCACCATAAAAAATCACATTGTAACATTTGGGCCGTTTCTTTCACGTCTCACTTTTTTTTTTTTCTATTTTTTTTTACAATATATTTTTTATTTTTTTCTCTCTCTTTATTTTTTTTGACAATGGAAAATGACCTTGTGAGACTTTTCTGCACCCATATGTAGACCTCAAAAGATTACTGTTAAATTTGACATATATATTTAAAAAAATAAATTTTTTTTAGATATATATATGTCAAATTTAATGATAATCATTTAAAATTATACACTCATAAGTACGAAAAATATCGTGGGATCATTACTCTTCGACAATAAATTTTTTATTTTTATTTTCTCTCTCACATCCCATTGTTTCTCTCTCTAACGGTGCTCAAAACCCAAAACTTATTAAGGACGCTTCTCTCTTAAGAAGTGTGAACTCATTGCACGTCTATCGAGGTGTGAACGCCCAAAGTAATTCCACCATCTATCAACTCTGCCTCGTGCCCGAACCAGAGGCTTGCATACTGCTGCGTCACAAAAATACAATGTGCCCTGATTCCGGACCAAGTCGTTAGGGCATCGAGACAGTAAGATTCCCCGTGCCCGAAGCTAAGCCTCGTATCCGAAGCTACCCAACGGCTCCCACCCCCTTGCACTTAACTTTCCCGCTTGTGCTATAATATTTTATCAGAGAACAGAGGGGTTTCGTTCTCTATGTCGCCTTCATTTTCTCAGCTTGATCTGCTAAATGGCCAGGTAATGAATATTTTATTTTTATTTTTATTTTTTGCTTTTTACTTTTGTGTTTTCTCTCTGTGTATGTCATGAACTGGTTTTTGCTATTATTGTCAAATTGGCTAATTATATTTCAAATAGTGATAGATAGACTTTTTCCTAGACTTGGGGAAGAAGAAAGTCATATGGGTTTGTATTGTTTTCATCATTTTTGGTCTTCTGAATGTGTTTTGGGGAGACTGAAAATGATCTAAGAATGAGATTGTTCGGTAGGAAAACCAGCAACAGAGAAGCATTGGGGTTGTTTCAAAGAACCAATTGGAAAAGAAGAGGAAAAATGAAGAAATCTATTTTGAGTTGGGTTGTTTCACTTCAGTAGTGGCCTTTGATAGCTTGATTACTCTATATCACGCTTGTTTCGATAACCCAATTGGGAGAATACTTTGACTTTGTGGTTCATTTGACTGTTAGTGGTATTAATGTTTATTTGTGTTTCCTTTAAAAATGATGATTGCATATTCCATTTTTCTTTTCTAACTTGGGTCTTGTTTTCTAAGTCCATTTGACAGGAAATTGAATTTTCAGGTGCCATTCTATTATGGATACTAAGAAAATATTACCTTGAATCAAATTTGTGGGTTTTATTGTACCCTGGTTACTATTTTTATGATGAAAATGGAAAAGACAGTCTATTAGTCATCTGTGAGAAAATGTACACACTTATTTGGTTGTACACATTGATTAGGTGCTTCATGAGCATTCTGCATCTTATTACCATTGCTGGCATTTATTGTCTGACAAGAAACCAATTTTTTGAATGGCAAATTCAACTATTTGAATGTTCTAGATATTAATGTTTATATGTGTATCGTACATGATGATTGCATTATCCTTTTCTTTAGTTGTTAGTTGGGGTTTGTTCTTTTAAATCCACTTGATAGATATGAAATGAGGTTCCATTCTATTATGGAAACTATAAAGTATCAACTTGAATCAAATTTTGTTGGTCTTCTTGTACTGTGACTGTGGTTACTATTTATATGATGCATGGGGAAAATAAAATATCTAAATCTGCATGGGGAAAATAAAATATCTAAATCTGTTTTAGTCTTAGGAATATGACCTTGCAATTTAACTTGGGTGTGTGAAAAAATGTACATATTGATTAGGTGCTTCATGGGCTTTCTGCATCTTACTACCATTATGTCATCTATCGTCTAACAAGAAACCAATTTTTCGAGTGACGAGTTTAAAGCAAAATCAAATCGATCAGTAGTTTCTTCATTATACTTCTTTTGAAAAACTAAAAAGGTTGTTTCATACATGAATAATATATATGAACGTGTAAAATGTTGCTTATTAAATCTTTTGCGTAATACATGTACTGATATACTTGCATAACATGTACTGGTTTATTACATTTTTGACAAGGCTTATGTATAACACGACAAATATATAATTATAAGCCAATAATGCATTTCCACATTGGGATTTTGAAACCTTTAGTTTAGCCAACGAATTTTGTGCAATTGTTGAGGAAAGCATACTTTTAAGTTCAAGATCTCCTAGTTCGTGGTACTACATCAAGTTTAATAATCATAATGCATCATGACATCATTTTGCCCATGTGTCTTCCCCCCTCATATCATTGAATTTGTCCTCCTCATACACTCAATTTGATGTTGACTATTCATCATCATAAAACAAGCTTAGAGTCCTCTGGCCATAGGTATTGTATTTGTAGTGCCTGTTCTTCATCTTTCATGGCTGTGCACATAAACGAGTGGAAGCCAAAAATTTAGAGGTTGAACTAAATATTGACTGTATATTTTTGTGCAGTCTCTGGAAGTAAGGCCCTGCCTTATGACCATTTTTTGGTTCTTCATGTTCATCTTGAACATCCATGAGTTTTTCGGCCCCATATGGTTACTAATCAATGCCATAGCATTCCCTGTTGTCACAACCATCATCATCAGTATCATCCACTCTAGGTACTTCAGAGATTCAATTGATTTTTGCTTCATATTTCTTATGATATCCTGATGGATTCATCCAAAGGTTGCCTTTGAGAGTCAAGTTGGGCCTTTCCTTTTCTCTAGCTATACCATCTGAGGTGTCCTCACATTAAACATAATCTAAGTTCATTAGTGAAATTGTTCTCTGGCTGATCCTCTAAGGTTCCCTCACATAAAATGTAATCCATGTTCATTTGTGATATAGTTCTCTGACTGCCTCAAAAATTATTTCAAACTTTGACATCAAATGTATGTTGTTAGTGTACAAAATGAACCTCTCAAAATATAGCGGACAGACCCACTTTTTTTTATTGGCGTCAAACTATGAATTATTGTATTGTTGCTTTGCTCATAACTAGAAATGGATAATATATATGAGTAATAGACTCATTGCTACTCCTATGATTTTCGAGAAACTATAAAACATCTATTAAAAAAGAAAAATACAATCTTCAATTTGTAAATTGATAAATTCAAATGTTTACGAGTTAATGTGCAATGCTGAAAAATTTCAAAGTCGATTACTGCTTCCTCATGCGGAAATCTAAACAGTTTTTTGTTCATTTATCTCAATCGAGTATCAGCCTTACAATGGAACTTGGCCTTTTTATTAGCTTCAAATGGTTTGAAAATTCATTTTGTAATGGAAGTTTTTTTTTTTTTTTTGACAAGTTTACATAGGAATGGAACTTGAGAAGTAGTGCTATGAAAACCCAGCTGCTACCGCCTTGACCCAACCCTAATTCCTTTTTTTTAATCGAAGTTTTGGATATGAGAAACAGTCTGCAATGATTTCAACGATATCACTTCCAAAATTTTAATGTTGGCCAATTTGGGTGGTAATGAGGACACATACGGTTCTGTGCTATTGTTGTGGTTGGTGCCTATTTCGCCTGTGATTTTTACTTGTCCAAAGATAATGTTTAATATACAAATGACATGAATGGAATAGGGCATATTATTATTTGGCTTAAATAATCTAATTAGTAAATGATGTATGTACTTATAGGGTCAACGAGTTTTATACCATTTCTATCCATGGCTGAATGCATTCGTAAATATTTCAGATTTCTCTTAGAAATATCATCGTTTTTTATTTTCTCAGCTTCAATTCCTTGATCCAATTTCATTACTTAGAGCATTTTCTACAGATGTCCATTCAATGAGTTCTGCAGTCATACATATGATACTGCCAAATCTTTTTAACTGCTGACATCATTCTCTTTTATCTACATGTATTCTCATGAAATTACAAAGTGCCTTCATTTACTAAAGACCATGCATTTTGACAAACACTCTCCATGAGAGCCTTGAGCCCCATGTCGCATGGAATAAAACACATTAACGGATATTGGCTATATTTCAGAGAAAATGTATCAACAAGAACATGGAAAGCACAATACAATTGGGGATCAACAGAACCTGAATATGAACCCGTTAAAGACAAATTTTACCATCTCTTCAACAAACTTGATAAGATGGACTTTTATTGTCCAGTTTGAGGGGAAGTCTTAGATTCCACGACCTTTGTCTTTCTCATCCATTTCCTATGGGGTCAACAAGTTTCTCAATTTTTATCAATAGCGGAATGCCTTCATAAATATTTCAGATTTTTCTAAGAAATCTTGTAATTTTTTATCTTCTCAGCCTCAATACCGTGATCCAATTCTGTAGTGATACATACAATTCTGCCAAATCTTGTATCTGCTGATCCCATTAACTCTCTTCCAACTACGTGCATTAGTGCCTTCATTAACCAGAGAACATGCATTTTGATGAACGTTCTTGATAAGAGCCTCGAGCTATGTATTACATGAAACACAAAACTTTGACATTTATTATCTACTTTGAGTGGAATTCTTGGACTCGGTGACCTTGGTCATTCTCATTATTTTGTATCCTTCGGACTTGTATTGCTGTGGTGAAGTCCCAGTCCTATGTGAGGCTATTTAGTCTTTCTGTATGTAGTATTTGATCACATAATCAAATTTGGATTTTCTTGGATTCACTACTCCTCTCCATCACATGAACTGTACAACTCAGTCAGTATACAGGAATTGTGGTGGTTAAATATGCATTGTCTAAGCTAATAATGGATGAAATTACTATGCTTTATTTGGACTATTTTAGTTTCTTTGGATAGATTTTCTCTGCAATAGCATAGATGATATATTATATGCTTGTATACATCTTATGGTTCTTTTGTAAAAATTCCTAGTTTTGATTTTACAGATTGAGTAAATGTTTTCATTCTTGTTGCAGGGCATGGCTCATAGATAGCAGGGGGATTGCGAGGAAAGTAAAAAGTGCTGCTCATTTTTCTGGCCCACAAATAAAGGAATGGTTTGGAGAAGCAAATAGAGAGTGTCCTAACTGCAATTACAAAATTGATAACAGTGATGTATAAATCCCACTATTAGTTCCTTCTTGTTTATTTCATGATATTCAAATATTCTTGAGCGGGAACGACTTATGGTCGGGCCTCTATATGGCCACATATATTCATTTCATACTTGTTAGTCATGTCTTATGTTGTTCCCATATTTTGGGAATATTAAGTTTTGTATGGGACTAAATTTGTTTCATATGCTCATCTCTCTGAAACTAGGAGAAATTTCTGAGTCATAGAAGTATTTTATGGATAGGGTGTCTCATATCCACAAATCACAAGTAAAATAATTGAATTTTTATATCTATTTCACACATTTTTTTTTGGAGGTAGGTATTTTGATATCTCTGCTCTTTATTAGTGGCCAGACTTGATTTGGATAATTTCTTAAATTAGGACTACTTTGCAACTAGGATATCGCTGTTATATATGGCTGTTTGACACAGTCTATGATTTGATTTATTTACTTTCAATGTCTGTTGATTTCCTCCATGCTCCAGTAGTATTTGCATCCATAGTTTTTGCAATTTCTTTATTCAATAGAAGACATGTTTGTTATTCTCCCAGTCCCATATTAATGGATATATTTGATGTAAGACCACTTTTTGGATGATTGAGATGGTGCCTCTTATAAACTTGTGAATTATAAATCTTGGTTTATTTCAACGAATGTAGTTTAATTAGTATGCGGTCAAACCTTTAGGACTAAAAGACAAGTAAGATTCTCTGCTTGGGTACTTAATGGTTTGAGTGGATTTTTTGAAAGAAAAAGGTTAGCAATTGTTTGATATACATTTCTATTGTATTCAATCTAGACATCGAAATCAGCTCATAGATCTCAATAGTTGATAGGGCTCAATTTTACGCAAGTTTTCTTGCTTGGACACTTTTATACTGTATCTTGTGGGAAGTGGAGTGTCTATGCGAAAGGATGTGAAATGATTTAGTCCTTATATCAGCATTTTAAAACCTGGATTTCAGTTAGGACCAGCGAGGGTCCTGAGCCAAGTCGGGGGAGTTTGACTTGGTGAGTCTCAACAAGACACTGCCCATTATATGGCCAAAGCGGCCTGAAAATGGATAGACTCAAATGAGTCTTATGAAGTACCATGAGGCTCATCAGGGTTCCAATCAACTAACTAGTTTTTAAAAACGCAGCTCCATCGTATCATACTTCAGTGGTGTTTTGGGAGTTGTTGAGGTGTTGTTACTTTATATAGGATCTTAGATAATTGGTAGCAAATTAACTTGGAAAGAAAACACCATTTGCAAACACATGATTCTGCATTTAGTTGACAAGGTCCAACGCGGTGAACTCACAAAATGAAGGGGAGGAACCTTATCCTAGAGCAAGACTGGAAGCTCTCGTATGGGTTACTAGATGCCAAAAAACACGGGAAGTTCTCGTATGGGTGACTAGATGGAAAAAGATCTAGCGGACACATGCCTCATTGGTTTTTCAATTAAAAGGCATATGAGATAAGATTTCTTTGTTCTACTAGCTGACCAATTTTTCACTGTATGCTTTTTCTGTCTTTTCATATCCTTGAGTTGAGGATAGTTTCTCAGCATTTAAATGACTTGCTACATGGAACTAATAATGGATACGTTATGTGGCCTTGTTTTGAGTGTAGCTATAAAAGACCTACTTATTTTTGAGACATGGGGTGTTACATAGAATCACTAGATAATTGCCGTGTTCATGATCTTGCACATACATATGTCTGACACCATCATGTTCACAATATAAAGTTGGATCTTGTGACCAATAAATGACCTTGCTAAGATGGAAATGATGGGTGGTATCACTAAATCACTTGAGTATTCATGGTTTAACCTGTTTTCTTGTCGTGATGGCATGATGAAATGAGAATATCACTAGTGAGGAACATCTGATATATCCCATTCATAGCTAGAAACAACTTAGGAAATGCCTGGTGACCGTGGTGCTTCCTGTTGGACAAATGAGTAGTTGCATATAATAACTTTTGTTGGGAGAGTCACAAATACAAGCAATTTTCATTAACTGTTTGACAGGAATCAATTAAAGAATCTTTCTTTTAGCTTGACAAGAATATAGTGCCAAAGAGTAAGAAGAGAGAGAGAGAGAGAGAGTGGGCAATTGAAGAGAGGTGGCTGGAGGCAGTGAAATTAGGGTTCCAAAGCCATATTTATATTTATAACTTATGTATGAAATATAATAATACCCTTAAGTAGCATACTAATGTGCTGAAGTATTAAAAATGGACAAAGATGTCTTATTGGTGCACAAACAAGACACATAGTTAGAATAATTAATATTTAAACACTCCCACTCCCCCTCAAGCTGGACATAAATGTCACCTATGGCCAACTTAAAACAAATCATCTGAATCTGATAACAACCAAGAGCCTTGGTGACTGCACATATGGAGTAAGTATTTGCTTAGTCACATTTTTTTTCCTGAATAAAATGATATTCTACTTCAATATGGATGGCTGCTTGATTATCAGAAAGCATCTTCATCGGGTTAGTAACTGTGAATCCCATCTCTTGCTTCAAAGTTTTCGGCTAAAGTAACTCACATGTAGTGAGCCATTGCTTTGTATTCAGCCTTTGCGCTAGACCTAGCGACAACACTATGTTTTTTTTTTTTTACTTTTCGTGTTATTAAATTTCCTCCAACAAAATTACAACAATATGGAGATCCTGCCTAATCATCATCAGAATAACTTTCAATGCTGAAATGTCCATTTTGTCTATAAATAAGCTCTCGACCTAGAGCGCCTAAAGATATCTCAAGATTCTTCACACAGCCTCCCAGTGCGGTCTTCTGGGGGAAAGCGTGAACTGACTTACTATACACTCACTACAAAGGCTATACCTGGTCGAGTAATCGTCAGGTAGATAAGTCTACCTACAAGGCTTCTATACTTGCCTGGATCTTCAAATAATTCTCCTTGATCCTTTGATAATTTTAATGTCTGGATCCATAGGTGTATCAATTGGCTTCGCACCTAGTATCCCTGTTTTTGATAACGAATATGTTACATGCTTCCTTTGACACATACTGATATCGTACTTTGACCGTGACTACTTCAATTCCAAGAAAATACCTTACCTGTCCCAAATCCGTTGCTTGGACATACTGTTGCATTTACCATTTCAATTTATTCATTCCTTCCTGGTCACTTCCTGTAAGGACAATATCATCAACATAAATCTCCAAGACAATTATACTTGTGGATCGTATTTGAGTAAATACTGAGTGATCCACATGACTTCGTTGAAACTCATATGTTATAACAATTTCATTGAACTTCTCAAACTCATGCACGTGGGGACTACTTCAGGCTATACAATGGTTTTCTTCAACTTGCATACCTTGTCTCACTTCCCTTGAGCAACAACTTCTGGTGGTTGCTCCATGTATACCTCTTTTTTTAAATCACCATGAAGAAAGGCATTTTTAACATTAAGTTGTCATAACAATCACCATGAAAGGCATTTTTAACATCAAGTTGTCGTCGCGACCACCCCTTGTTTGTTGCTATACATACAAGCACTTGAACAGAAATAAGTTTAGCAACTTGGGCCAATGTCTTAAGACTAATCAATAGCAAAAGTTTTTCTATGCCCTTTCCATACCAACCTTGCCTTTAACCTCTCCACAGTTCCATCTGGTTGATATTTAATTGCAGAAATCTAATGACATCAAATAGGTCACTTTCCAGCTGGCAAATCAGTAAGTTCCCATGTGCCATTTCATTGAAGCTCGACCAGTTTTCCTAATCCATTGCACTCTTCCACCACGTATGAGAAAAAGCCTCCTCATAGGACTTGGGTTCAGAAACAGAAAGCAACCCCATGACTAGCTCCATCAGCCAGAAAGCAACCACACAACTAGCTCAAATTAGTTTACCAACACTTGAGCAATGGAAGTCCTTCATGAGGAGACATGACCCAATGAACCAGCCCCAAGGAAGTTATGTGTATTGATTGTGGCCTCACTTCTCAATATAACCGCAATGTGACTAACTTTTGTATCTCGTCCCAACTTCCTCCTCTCTCCTATCCCACTCTTGTTACCTTTCTTTGAAATTAGACAAGTCACTTCTCAAAAGGTATGTAGGAAACCATGGCATTCAAAAAGATTTCAGGTCATAAAAAATTGGAGATCCACACTCCATTGTATACGAACCAAAAAACTTTGCCGGTGAAACTCTCTCCCAAAGTATAGTATGCTGGGTTCCGAGTTGGTGGAATCGTGGTTCCGCTTGATCATGGAACCTTGATTTTTGGCATAGGAATCTGGATCCCATTTACATGGAATCGACTTCCCTAATTTCCCAAATCAGGATCGCAAGTATCAAGGTATCGCATTATCGAGCTTCCAGAGCAGAAGTGGACCCCCTCCTTAGAAGATCCCGACAACTATAATTGGACCCACTTAATTTCATGGAAGTAATTGGCATTCCAATCATGTCATTGATGCTGGAAATTCCAGACTTACTTTCAATAGCCATGAAGCTAAGATGCATACAAATTAAGGAGAACAAACACTATAGCAGGTTGATTACTTTAGAAAGCCCTAAACCACTTAATTGACTCTCATAAACCACAAGAACAACACGAACATCAGGTGAAGGAGCTACATTATCATTCATGGATTATTGCACGCACGAGGACTATTGCATGGAGTTCAACAGGTTTCCTCCAGCATCAACCACACACTTAGACAGATTCCAGCCACTATTACTCTTGATTTTTCATATATAAGGGAGGATTAACAACACAAATCTTCAGGGAAAAAGCAGGTAGAAGGAGAATCACTATTCACGGAGTATTGCTCATAGATCTTTATACGAAAACTATTGCACGGACCTCCACAAGTTTCCTATCTAAGGGAGGAAACATTATTAGCACCAAATCTTCAGGGCAAAGGCAAATAGCCATATTTGTTCTGCCACAAGTGGGAAGAAAAGAGATGCCCTTATTGAAATTAACACAAAATATAATTAGGGTTTTTTTTTTCCTTTTCAATTGAGAGAAAAAAAGAGGAGAATTATTCAAATCTTTAGGATCCGAATGCTCTGATACCATGTCAAGAATATAGTACCAAAGAGCAAGAAGAGAGAGATGAGAGGAAGAGGGGGGAGAGAGAGAGAGAGAGAGAGAGAGGAGGTAGAGAAAGGAAGAGAAGGAGGTAGCGTAGTTATTTAATTAATTAATTAAATTAAGTTATAGTGTAGAAACTAAAACTAACTAAACTTAACCTTAACCG